TAATAACTGTTGTTATGTGTTTCTTGCGGAAGCAAGGGAATAAGTTACATGTTTCTTTCTCACAATTTACTATTTTCTTGGCGAGTCACGTGATATAAACTGGGGCTTCTCAGCCGACACTTTGAGTGAGATGCCCCACTTTATTGCGGGTCAGTTGCCCCGAACTTCCCTCTGTGTTAAAAAGGATTAACGCCTTACCTGGAGGTAACCTCCGTCTGTCTACTTCGTTACCATGTGATTACCTTACATTCAGAGCTGCAGATTCTAGTAGCACTATTCATCTTCTTTACTATGGAGTCGCTTTCTCCATACTTACGGATAAAAGACCGTAACTTTTGCTGCTACTAAGTTTTTTGCGTAATTACTTTCTTACAAGCGACAAAACATTCTACTTTCCGCACATAGCACATATGCTTTTCTAGATAACAAAATTTAATGTGATAGAATTCAAGTTTCTGGTATTTAATGGCGTACTGTAACGGTCCAAATTACATCTTCTGCTGATCCTACCATTTAGTTCTTTTATTATTTTATTAGGCTGAATTTCTTTTTACTTTTCGTTTCAAAATTCTAACTTGTTGTTGTGTTTGGAGGGTAATACTGGGATGTTTACTTCTAGTTCATGGCATATACCTAACTGTTTAGGACAAAGACGTCCGAGGACCTTCGGTTCACATGAGTCTTGTGATTTTACACCAGGGCAATAAACTGGCGTGAATTGGTTGTAGTCCCAAGTGTCATATGTCGGGAGTTACATGCCGTTAACACCCCTGAAAAGAGTCAAGTGATTACCAAGGAGCGAAGCTCCTATTACTGAGCGGCTATAGTACCTTCCTCATTTTCTTCATTTTGAGAACAGGTGTTCTGCATTTTGAGTAACGAGGGGGGGGGGGGAATGGAAGATTCAATAATGTTTTTGTTTTTTAAGGAAATGCCGACAACATAAAAGCAGAATAATAATGAAAGTGGTTGATGGAAGTAAGAAGATTTGGAAAGAGCAGTATGGACCGTTGAACGAAAAACAATGGGTGTCAATGCTGCCAGTAGAGCCTTTGGAATTCCTTCAAGGACCTTAAAAAGACGAATCTCTAGGTCCAGCTGCGTGTTTAGGCACTTATGCAGAAATGAAAATGGTGTCACATATTCAGCAGATGTAAGCAGATAAGAAGTTCAAATTCTGGCCTTTAAACTAGCTCAAAAGTTAGGCATCAAACATGGATTCTGTGATGCAAAAGGACAGGCCGGGAAGGACTGGTTTGCGTCATTTATGAGACGACATCTCGAAATAAGTGTGAGGGAAGCTGAAGGAATATCCCTCAGCAGAGCTCAAGGAATGCAAAAAGAATAAACCGGCAAATATTTTGATCTCCTGACAAAGACGCTGATGGAAAATGATTTAGTGAAAAAAGCTAGGATACGTTCTCGCTAAAAAAAATCGTTCCACAGATGTTCATTTATTGACGTCTGTAGAAAAGGGAGAAACCAATTCTGTTTTAGCCTGTTGCAGGGCCGAAGGACGCTTCCTACATCCTGCGTGCATTTTTACACGAATCAGGCTCATGCGAAGCGAATGAAAATGTAAGCACTTCACGTAAAATCCTTCTGAAGATTTCTCCAATATCTGAAATTCCTCAGAGAAAATATTCGAAGCGGAAGCAGTCAGCTACTGTTTTAACATCAGAGGACTGTTTTGCCAAAAAACGTCTGAAGTTCATTAAAAAAGAAAAGCCGGATAATAGGGGAAAACAAAGGGGACGTGTTTATAAAAAGAAATCAAGATAACCTGAGCCGGAATCAGAAAGCAAAAATGATATGTACACCGAACGTGAAGAACCCTATGCTACAACAAAGCAGAATTGTGACTGGATTAAGTGTGTGGACTGTAACAAATGGCTCCACGAGCTGTGCGCTATGTATGGTGACCGTTGCAATTCTAAATTACAAGGAAAAATGAGTGAGGCAACTCACCCTCTCTCAGTGGGGCATCTCAACCTTCCTATCGGGAGAGATAGCTAAAAAGGACTTTCTAAAAAATGTAAAAATAATGTTGATGTTCTCAAATGACGGATTAATTATTTTTTTCGATTTTACCATTGTAGTCGTTATCAGAATTCTGTGTTGTAAAATAAAAATTCAACTTCTGGATTTCAATAATATTTTTTTCAGAAATGTGGGGCATCTCACCCAAGTTTACAAAATACGTACCATTATACGAATACAAAACTTTTATCGAAATGTTCAAAAGGGAAACATTTCATGAGCCATCATGTACATAATTGTGAACATAAATGTATTTACTTAAAATACGATTCGTGAACAAAGAATACTATCAGTCCTGAGCAGAGATGTGTTGTACTTTATTAAATAATCACAAATCTTATAACCTGTCAAGATGGATAAAGCATATAACCTGTACATTCTGTAACTCAGCATCCCGATGCATTACTCTGCATATACTTGAGGTGGTAAAAATGTATGTGTGAAACTGACAGTTACAACAAATATGAAGTATCTGGAGCCTATATGCCTATAAATAGAATAAATTAATTACCTTATATATGAACCGGGATAGCTCAGTCAGTATAGTGACTAGCTGCGGG